TTCTTTATCCATCAACATTAACCCAACATCATGATACTTAGCTAGTTGAGGACAATTCTTAGCATGCCGTGCTAGATGGGACGTGGCATCAGCTCCAGATCCTGCTAGATCTGTATTACAACCATTACATCTAGCCTTTGTTTTTCCATCAATTATAACTTTGGAAAAAGACTTCCAAACATCATACGTACAAGTTTTGACTCTTTTACTTCCGGAAAGCTTCCCTCCTTGTTCAGAAACTGTTCTTTTACCAGAACAAACAGATTTTTCCTTCTTATTCTGGGATGCAGACACAATCGCAGCATTATCCACTTTACTAGCATGCAAATTATCATCCACCTCACTACCACTAGCAGCCATATTTCTATTACTAAGAGAACCCCAATTTCAATATGTCTTTTGACTAGAAGACATTGTTCACTGCATATAATGGGACATATAAGACAATTACATAAAATTAATTAGCCACCACTAGTCCACTAAACAAGTTAAAGAGAGAATATGAAAAGAAACATTTCATTCAAATTTTTATCATCAATCTAATCATAGTTTAAGCTCCGCAAACAACTAGAATTTTCATGTCAATAATCAATTTATATAAAATATAATTATTACCAATCCACATTTTTTTGATAATCAAATATTTAGTTGGAAAAGTCAAGTCACGGAAACTTAAGTTAAAGCATAAATAAGGACTAAAATTTCTAATCCATATAAATGCAGCAACAATCGGTGAATCATAGATCAATCAACTAAAAGATTTTATGTTATTTGAATCCTATCGAGAATCATAGACTGATCAATCCATGAGATGAAAACAAAAAAAGAACTTAAAAAAATCAGACGATGAAAGCTCACCTGTGCTCTCAAGGATGGCTGGCGATGACGCAAGGGAGATATACCTAAAAGAGTGTAGAGCCAGAACAAGAAGGAAAAGAGGGCAATGGCAAGGCAAGGAGATCTGAGATCTGCAATAGTGTGATGCGAGGAGAACTGGGATCTAGACAGGCCAAGAGAAGAGGAGAGTCACTAAACTCATTGGAGAGGTTGAGATGAGTCTTATGAGATGAGAGGAGGAAAGTCAGAGTCACGATCGACAGATCTGCATTGTCTCTCGTCTATGTCATTTTCGAGTGTTTGAGCTCAGTCGTCTATATCTCTCCTTCGTATGAGTTACTCAATCTAACTATCTAAGCCACCGAGGTTCTGCGTCGTGCCGTCATCTACAGTCTCGTTCATCTCGTGCTTACTCTGCTTCAGTGTTTCTGCCTTCTGGTTTGGCTAGCCATGGTGACCGCACGTCTTCTCTCTGTTTTTTTCTCTTCAGCTTTTACGGTTTTACCTTCCTCCTTCAGTGCTTTTTGATTTCTCTTGCTTGAAGATGAGTGTGAGTGTGTGACTGATGTGAGCTGAGGGCGTGAGGGCGTGATTGACTCGTGAGGCTCTGTGATCTGTGATATGTCATTCTGAGCACTAAGTCTTAACTGTTGAATCTTGAGCAGTGTGCTGTGCAATGAGCTATCTGTTCTCATCTCACCGTCAAGCAAAAATTAATTAAGAATTAGAATAGTGTTCTGTGCGGTGTGTGTGTCTGATGTTCACGTTCTGAGTTCTTCTGACCAAGAGTTAAAATTTAAAAAAAATATGATACGGGTATTCGGGCTGCCCGAATAAGCCCGAACATTAAAAAAATATTTTTTTATTCGGGTTCGGGCTTAAAATTTTCGGGCGGGTTCGGGTTGGCCCATCGGACTTGGCCTAAATTACCGGCTCTAATATTTCTCCAAGAAAATTTGATCTGGCTTATAGTCATATGTGAGACAAAATATTTAATTTTGGTCAAAGGAACTTCTAATATTCGGCCCAAAAAAAATAAGAAACTTCGAGTAAAAAATTATATGAACAATGATAATAAAATATTTTTAAATTATCCAACTGATAATTTAATTCTTTAAAATACTATAATTTTACAAAAATCTTTAAAATTTTTTTATTAATAAATTTATATAAACTATTAAATTGCCCCTATTGAATATAAAAAATTTGATATTGTTATAAGTGTTGGAAATAATAAAATTTTATTTAAATAATCACAACTTTCATTCTTATATTCATAATAATAAAATAGCAAATCACAACTTCACATGTTAAAATCCTGATATTGTCACAAGTGTTGTAAATAACAAATAATGATAATAAATTTTATTTAAATAATGACAACTTCTTTCTTGTATCCACAACAATACAACAGTAAATCATAAGTTTGCATATCAAATTTTTAATATTACTACAAGTGTTGAAAATAATAAATAATGATTATAAGTTTTATTTAAATAATCACAACTTTACTTTTTATATTAGCAACAATGCAACAGTAAATCACAATTTTGTATGTTAAATTTCTGATATTGCTACAAAGTTAATTTAATCATTTATATAAATTCATTAATAATAGAAAAGTTTTTAAAAATTTCAATAAAATTATAACATTTTAAAAAATTATATTATTATTTATATAATTTAAAAAAATTTTATAATCATTTTTTCAAATTAAAAGTCAATTTTTTTTTGGCTTCTCGTGTAAACTAGTAAAATATATTTTACTATATTTCGAAAGCTCAGAAAAATTTATTTTTATAAAAATTATGAAAAAATATATTTTCAACATTTGTATGCATTAAAGAGGAGTGGGAGTCCAATATTTGACCCACACCGACCTGAACAAAGGGCTCAGATAGTGGTCGTTTTCAATTTCTGGGAAAAGGGGTGACTCCTCATACATCATATCTCATTGCGTATCATTTTCGCCCAAATGCATATAATGACGCTACAGCTCGGTACCCGCTATTTTCTTTTCTTTTTCCTTTTTTTTAAATTTTAATGTTTACGAAATTAATAGAAACAAAATCAAGTATCCTCAAATTTATTAGCTAAAGTTAGTTCAGTTGATACTTAATAATCATTTAGCCTATAATTTATAAAGTCATGAAATCAAATTTTATTATTGATATAAAAATCTTGTTAATTGATGATTTACAAGTATATTTATAAATATTTTTTAAACTCAATGGTGAATTGAGGATCTTTGGTCAATAGAGGCATTTAAAAAAAATAAAAAATTAAACATTTATTATTTAAATACAATATGTTTAACTTTAAAATTAAGTTAAATAAAATTGATTAACTAATTATATTTGCACCTCCCTATTCCAGATTTGAAAATAACATATATATGGGTCCACAATTATTTACCCCCTCCTTCCATATATAAATAAAAGTGTTTTCTAAAAAGTTTACTTTGTCTTTAAATATAAAAGGTGATAATAATATTTTTAGTAATTAAATAATTTTATTTTTATTTTAAAAAATAAAATAAATAATTAATTGCATGTTTTTTTACCATCAGCATGATATTAATTATGATATTATTAAGATAAAATTAAAAAATTATTGTATTTTTATATAAATTTAATTAAATAATAAATTTTTATTAATATGCAGAATTTGATTAAAAATATTTTATATATAAAAATAAATGGAGTAAGCACGTAGATATGTCGGCTCTATTGAACTTTTGAACTCAACTCACATGAACGATTTGCACAAAAAATATCCTCAAATTTTTAATACCTGATTATTTATTTTCTTAAAACATAGATTGAGTGACACCAGCCTTTCTTTCATTTTATTATAAACATCTATTTTCAAAATATATAAAAACTCCCAAAAATGATAGAAAAATTTTCAGTTCCAGAAAAATTCAAAGAATGTCCAAGTAATTTAATTTTTATTTTTAGTCCAGGTGTTTATTTGTTTTAAGAAAGATGTAATTTATACAATTCGATTAGATAGTAAAAATAATTTATAATTTTTTTGGAAAAAATGATTTATAAATTTTTAAATTCAAACATTTGTTTTGATTTTTTCAATTATAAAAAAAATGTACTTTCTATAATTTATAAATTATATAACTCATCTCATAGTGGCTCATATATTAATTATAATAAAAACATAAAAGAGTGCAAGGAATTTCCTCATATCCTGATTATTCCTTCTAGTCCTGTTTATAATATAGAAATTTTTTTATTCTATTTATAAGTTATCTCATTAAATTTTTATTACAATTTTTTTAATTTAAACTCTATCAAATATTGAAAAGAGAAAATATATTATTAATATATATAATAGAAATAAAGTTTAAAAAATAATTAAATTTTTAGATAGAATTAATAATTTTAATTTTTTTAATTTTGATAAAATATATTATAGATATAATACAGTGTATTATTATTCACGCATATGTGCCTCCAAAATGCTGGTTTTAGAGTTAGCGAAAGCACCAACAAAGCAATCAAAGATACGCGTACAATGACTTTTCATGAGTTTTCTTTCCAGTCTTGTTCTCATCTCGGAAAGAAAAGCCTATGTAGTCTGCGCGCTCTGTGTGTGTGTGTGTGTGTGTGTGACATGTTTGAGGTTTTGTCTCTTGCAGTTCCCATTTTTGTCTCTTTCATGATCATACACCCTGTAATTCTGCCATTTTCTTGGGCATTTAGATGTTTTTAATCCCAATGAAAATTCAAAGCCCGTCTTTTTGACTTTTTCAATTTCATTTTCTCATCAGTTGTTTGTAACGATGTTTTGAAACTAGACCAAATATTGAATTAAAAAAAACAATGAATTACAGTTTTTACTATTCAACCAGTTAGACCGACAGTCGAATTGGTGATTAAAAATTAAATAAAAAATAATATTTATATGCATATATATATTGTATATATATAAGATATTAATTTGACAAAAAAAAATATATCAAGCAACACTACAAATTCACATTGCATAACATGTTTTAATTGCTCAAAATCTCAAACAATGACATTACAAATTCAAAAAGTCTCAAACATGTTCTAATTGTTCAAAGTCTCAAACAAAATACTACAAATCCAAAATATGTCTCAAACATATCATTGCAAAGTTCATAACATCATAAGTTTAAATTTTTATTGCTTATCAAATATTGGGGGATCTTGGTTAATCCAAGCATGTGCAGGCTCAAAGGTATCAACATCTTCACTAAAGCTATTAACATCCTCTTGAGAAAGTAATTGTAAATCAAGTCCACCAATGGCTTCACCATATGCCACGTTGTCTCTTTGCTCATTATCTTCACAAACAAACATTTAATGTATATAATTAAATTAATGAGAATCACATGATAAGTGATAAAAAAAGTGAAAACATTAAGTAAAGAATACCAAACCTTCCTCATCCTCTTGATGAATGATAGCTTTTGATAATATTGTGTCATCATAAATGAGATCTCGTTCTATATCATCAATATTGAGTAAAGAACAATCATCTTCTTCTATTACCCAATAATCAATCTGATCAATACTTTCATAATCAACAGGATCCAAAGCTTTCTTCTTGTTAGCAACTCTAATAAAAACACATGATAGTAACAAAGCATAAGGATTCATGTAACTTATTTTTTATTACAAATGAAAGCAAAATTTTGAATAATTTACCTATTCTTAATCAAAAATTGTAATGAATATAGACAAGATCATTCAATCTTTCATGCTCCAACTTATTCCTTTTCTTGGAGTGTATTTTTTCAAAGACACTCTAGTTCCTTTCACAACCCGAGGAAGATGTAGTTTGGCCTAATATCTTAACAGCCAAGTCTTTAACATTTGGACAGCTACTCTTAAAATGTTTCCACCATTCATCTATCATGAGAAAAAAATTAGTCATTAGAATATATTTTAAAGATAAAAAAATAAATATCAAAGATAAAAGTATACCAGGTCGTATGGTTTTTGCAGATTCTATAGCTAATGGATGACTAAAGTTTCCACACCTTTCTCGGTATTGTGTGCCTTCTAACAAAAACTTAGTCTTATTAGAAGAAATTTTTCTATCTATCACATTAAGATATCCTTGCATAACCTCTGGCTTTTTAGAAAAATTTTCCTTATCATAAAGGAAAGCAGGATTGAAGAGATATGCTGCTGCATGAAATTTTGTCAAAGTTGAGAATCTCACCTTCTCTTAATAATACTTGTGTAAGGCTTGTACAAGGATTTTTTGTGCCTGAAAGTATTCTTTATAGCTCTTTTTGCTCTGTACATGCCATCATAAACATAGCCAAGTAAAGGTCGGTCATTAGAATCAACAATTTTCAACAATCTCACAAGTGGTTTTACAATTTCAACAACTATTTTACAATTATTCCAGAATTGGTTGTCCAATACAATCATTGTGACATCCTTTGCCTTTGAATCCTTGTAGTATCTAGATTCTACAAATGTCTTGCTTGTTATTAAAGCTTGAATATCATGCTTGTGCTCATAGATACTTTTCAAGGCAATAAAAGTAGTGGCAAACTGTGTTGCTCTGAGGCAGATGATTTCTATCCAACCTTCTCTTTTCCTTAACCAAGCTAGCAAAAAGACATGGTTGTAAATGAATTTTGAAATCATGGATGCACGTGTTGCTAAGCTACTAATAATCTCCATTTTGCCAATATCTGATAAAATCAAATTTAAGCAATGGGTAGCATAAGGGGACCAGAAAATAGAAGGAAACTTATCATTTAACAACCTTGCAGTAGTTTTGTAATTAGCTGCATTATCAGTTATCAAGTGGACAACATTATCTGCATTAGCAAAAGCAGCCATATCCATGAATAAGTTGCAAAGATTTTGAGCATCCTTAACAATATTCGATGCATCAACAGATCTAATCAAAACCATTCCTCTAGGGCAGTAAACAAGAAAATTAATCAACTATCTATTTCTTTGATCCTGCCAACCATAAGCCATTATTGTACATCCAGTCTCAACCCATAAGCTTCTACATTCATCAACCAATAATTGCACCTCCTTTTTCATGTCTTGCAATAATTTGATTCTCACAGCATGATAAGTTGGTCCTTTATAAATAGGGCCAATAGTTGAAATACCATCTATGATAGGCTGATAGTAAATAGAATTTACAGCATTTATAGGAATGCAACAATCATACAACCACCTAACCATAGCTAAATCCTCTCTATGTAAAGCTTCTTTACTTACAAATCTACTTTGAATTTCTAGCTGTGCTCCCGAGCTTGTCCTTGGGGCAAAGAATTTGTCTCCAGCTGCAGATGCTTTTTTTGGCTAGTTGAGAGGAACTTGGAGGAATTATTTCTTGCATAATTTCATCATTCACTTCTAATGGATTATCCTTTTTTTGTTTTCTCAATTTCTTAGCTGGTCTCTTTTGATCAATTTCTTTCAAGTTTTCCTCCAATCGATAGTGAACATCATGTGGCACACTTTTATAACTAGTTGCATCTCTCTTTTTTTTCTAGCAAGGTGTTGTTTCATTATGTGTATTCCACCACCACCAAATTCCTTTCCACAATATAGGCATCTCAAGTGAGGTTTGCCACCTTTTTCATTTGGTATTTCAGTGCAATGCTCCCATGTAGATGTAGCACTAGATATTTGTTCTGATGACATTTTCTAAATTTAAATTGAAAGCACAGATAAAACATGAAAAAGAGAGAAAATTCAGGAATTAGATTATATCTAGAATAATTAGATCATATCCAGAATTCCATATCAATAAATAACAGAGTAATGAAAAATAAAGCAAACAAGCATACATAGATAAATGGCTGGACAAATTGTGTATACATTCTGCTCATTATACAAACTCAAGTACATAGATAGAACATATAAGCTAGAAATCAAACCTGGAAGGAGAGCAGAGCATGCTGATAATTAAACAAGCTGGAGCAAAATGAGAATCACGCAGAGGCAGAGGCACGAGCTAGAGCTAGGAGGAGTTGGAGGCAACTCGAGTAAAGGCAGAGGCAGAGGTATGAGCTCAGAGTGGTGAGTGAGAATGGCTGAGAATGGTGATGAGAAATTTGGGTTTGGGCTGAGAATGGTGAGTGAGATGTGAGAAGGGGACGAATCAAAATTAGAGTACAAGATGAGATTTGAGTAAAATTTTGGATTTGAAGCTTGATTAGTTGATTGGAGATGAGAAACAAAGAGAGACGAGAGAGAGACTAGAGGTGCGAGACGGCGAGAGACAAGTTTGAGCTCTAAGGGTATGAGACAGTGAGAGTGAGACTGTGAGTGTGAGAGGTTAGACGAGAGCGAGACCAGAGGTGTGAGACAACGAGTTGGTGAGAGATGAGTCTTGAGCTCTGAGGGTGTGAGAGTGAGAGTGACACTGTGACTCTATGAGTGTGAAAGGTCAAGTAAGCTGCGATTGTGAGATGGCGACGTGAGAGTGAGGTCTCAGGTCAGAGACTCAGAGGTGAGGTCTCAGCTAGTCAGCTCGCAAGCTCTCAGCTCACGTTTGTACCTCTATGGAGTGTGACGTGATGGCGTCTGTTAGTCTATGCTTTATTTCTTCATTTCTTGAGTCTTAGACGAGTTACATACAATGATACAAGCCCTAAATTTTTTTTATTTTTTACTTGACCCGAATTGACCTATATTAAATCTACTCTGGGTTTCAGGTCAACTCTGCTTTAATAGAAACCGGACAGTTCTATTTGGGTCAATCCGATCTAACAGCTTAAGTGGTTCAATTGGTTGAACTAGATTGCTTTACTCAGTGGGTGACAGTCGAATCGTCCAGTCTGGGTTTGACAACACTAGTTTGTAAGTTTCAATGAAAGTTTATTTTATTGGCCAAAAAAAAGGAAAGTTTGTTTTGATTTCAACACTTAAAATTAAATTTTAATAGTTTAAATCTTAGAAAAAATGATAAAAAAATTCATTTAGATTATGTAAACGATGAATTGGCCTCACGAAATAGTATAATTTTTCTGGAGTCTCATGAAATTTTTCTATCATTAGGAAATTAAAAGAAATGATCAAATTGCTCTTAAATAAAACAAAATCTCAGGCCTCAATGTAGGATTATTCTCACGCGTTCTTGCCTTTGCTTTATCTTTTTATTCTCCTCTTCTCCTCTTCTTCATGCTCTTCTTTTAGTCCTTCTCCTTCTCCTTCTCATATGTATTTTTTTTAAGTTTTTGTATGTGGGTGATTTGTTTTGTTGAGTTGCTATACGTGGGTATATGTTAACATCATTCTTCCTCTATTAGTTGTGCTATACGTGGGTAAATTTCTTCTCCTCCTTAAAAATTTCTCTTTTCACATTTGATAGTTGAAATTGATGTGGGTTAATGTGTGTAAATGATTGAAGTCTTTATTTTTTCTATTGAGGTCTTCATATTTTTTGTTGTACGTGGGTATGGATGCTTACTCATGGATCAATGATAAATGATATATTATTTTCAGTTGTGTTGTAAATGTATAAACTAAAGTTGTGAATATAAGAAGAATAATTGTTGTTGGATAAAACTTAACATATATGTGATTATGATGTTTGGAAAATAGACATGTTGATGAATGACTATTTCATTATTTTACGTTGGTATGAGAAATGATTTCTTTTGCTTTTACTTTTGAAAAGGAACTATTTGTTATTTCCACATAGGGGGTATTTTGTAAAAAATATTGAAGGTAAAGTACAATATGATGAGGGAGTGTGAAGATAAAAACAACAAGAGAAGGGATGACACTAGAAGATTCAACCCTTCATATATTTTTGTCAAAAGGGTAGTATGGTATTTTGATGCAAGTTGTAAATCATGTAACCGACAAGAAAAATTTTAGATAGTTGTCACTTTTTAAGGTTTTTTAATCATTTAAATTAATGAAAGTTATTATTTCATAGATTAGAGTGGTAATTCATTTTTGTTGATTTAGTCAATTCACAGAGGGTACTGATAAATTACAATTTCTTATTGCATTGTTTCGAATCTAGGGATAAAAGTTATTAATATTGGATCAAAAGTTGTGAATTTTTAACACCTGATGCATATCAGGACTTGCATATACAGAGTTGTGAATAACTATTGAATTGTTGAGAATTTAGAAATAAGAGTTGTTAATATAGAAATAAAAATTCTGAATGAAAAGTTGCAAATTTTCAATATCTGATACATATCAAGACCCATATATGCGAAGTTGTAAATGACTATTGAATTGTTGTGAATTTAGAAACAAAAATTGTTAATATAGAAACAAAAGTTGTGAATGAAAAGTTGTGTATTTTTAACATCTGATGCATATAAGGACCTGTAGATTAAGACTTGTAAATAGCTAATAAATTGTTATGAATTTAGAAACAAAATTGTTAATATATGAATAAAAGTTGTGAATTTTTTTAATTTGAATAAAGGAAAAAAGTGTCATTTTCTATGATTTTTTAATGATAGAAACATTATCTCTATATAAATCGATTAGTCGATAACCACAAAGACACGATAGTTTTCATTTATCTTTATTATCTCTGCACTCTCTGAAGATTATGGGAGTCCAATGGATTGTGCTACAGCCTATACTCAAGGTAATCGAGGTCTCATATTAAGTCATAGATTGTTTAAGTATGCATATCACTTTGTTATGATTAGATTTATATGAATTGAGGTATTAAAGTAAACACTTTAACCCTAATATTATTAGTTTTATTACAATATATATATATATATATATATAAAACTTTAAATATTGATAAAAAATTCTCAAATATTGATATATTAAGTTTAATTTTTTTAAAATAATAATGGTTGACACAAAAAATAATCATTTAAAATTAATGATGTTAGGTTAAGAGAGATGAAAGGATACTTTTTAAAATTAAAAGATCAAATTAAAACTTTATATAAAGTTAGAAAATTAAAAGTACACTTCAACTTTTGATATAGTGTCTCAATTAGAAAATCTTACTACTTACACCCTCTAATTAAGAATATTTTAGGAAATATATCATCAAACGCATCTTAAAATACCCAAAATGCCTTTTATTTTTGAACATCTTATTTTAGACAAAAATGCTTTATATCTTTTAATAGAGGGGGTAAATAAATAAGAGGTAAAATTAAAAAAATATTAATTACTCTAATTTCATCATATATTCAAGATAAAAAATGGCTTTCAAATTTTATCTTATATTAAGGATCCAACAGAGTATTTTATAATTTTTTTCTCCTTTAAGTGATATATAAAACTTAAAAAAATTCTTTTTATTGAGTATTCATAATAATAATATTTTTTATGCCAAGGAAATAAAGCTTTCAAATCACATTCTTAACATAAAGGCTTCACTTTTGGGTATACCGAAGATCAATCTCTCCAGTCATTTTTCGAGCTTTGGGTTTTTTTTTTTTTTTGATACACAGCTTTGGGGTTTATTCTAACATCCAACTTACCTAAATGTTTTGTAATTAAAAAATAAAATAAAATAGGTGAAAATATGATGTTTTTATCGATGATGGCAAAATTGAACCCAACCAGTTGGTTTCAAAATTGGAATGAGAACGAGCTAGGACTGGGTGATGAAGTTTTGAGACTTAAAAGGTGAAATTAGTAAAAAGTTTATTTATTTTCATATTACTTTTTTAGCCTTTTGAGTTTGCAAAATCAAATATTAAAATTTTGGAATCACGTAATTAATTCTCACATTTTATTTAGAATAAATAATATAGGTAATTCATTTAAGCTATTTTGTGACATGGCTGATTTTAAATAAGATTTAAGTAATTTTAAATTCAAAAAACTTATTTGAACAATAGTAACTATTATTAAACCTTAGTTTTGATGATTACAAAATAAAGAAGATTTTATTTTTACAAATATTTTAATTTATATTTAATGGCAATTAAAGGTAATTGATCTAT